CGCAATCCATAGCAATCCAAATCTTTATCAATATCAATTTACTCATATCAATAAAGATCAGACTCCCTCTGGATCAGTTCTCACTGGCGCCTGTCTGACATAGCAGGCCCCTCATCATGCCCAGACAACTCCCCCTTCCCACCACACACACACACACACACACACACACACACAGAAAAACACAGCAGCCCTTGACTTTGGCGTCAATAAGACGTCTTTGTGAGTGTATCGACAGTTATCAAAAAATGCCCTTGATGTAATTTCATGCCTGTCGACACTCACTGGCCATATGCTAAGGATTATGGGATGTCTGCGTGCCACATAAGTGTAAGGCACTGCAGAGCTAGGGGGCCCAGGCCTTGGTCACTTTATAGGCGCTTTTAATGGTCCTCACTGCCAATGTTAGCACAACAATGGCCAAGTACAGCAGAGTGTCCACTGGGGGCTACCATCAACCTCAGCTACAGAGCAGCCAGGGAATCCCGTCGCTCCCACGTGTGACACTAAGTTCTCACATTAAAGTGTCCATAGTGTCACAGCATATGTCGAGTCTTATGGTTTATGTCAGAAGACTCTCATTTACATTTTCAAAGGTATTCACAAATGCACAGTGAAATAGAGGGCAGTAAGCAGGCAGTGGGTGCTCTGGTGAGGACTTTCTTTTATGTCTGTTTAATTTCCTTCCTTCAAAGTGTCATTGAGGATGGAGATGGTACAGCAGAGGTCTGGTCATATGACAAGAAGTGGAGTTCTCTGCTGCTACACACAGTTAGAAAAGGCCTGTAAGCTTCAGTGTTGCTAGTGTGATTGGATCTGCTATGTGTGGTCATGCATATAGATTTTTAATGCATTTTTCAAATTTTTGCTATTTGCCATCACTGTCTTTATGAACAATGACTTACAAGTAATGAAGCTCAGAGTTTAGAGAAAAGTTAGAACTAACGTATTATTATTATTATTATTATTATTATTATATGCTACAGTTAGGGGAGTCCTGGTGACCAGGAGGTTATATGCGTGTGTGTTTTAATGGATGTTACAATATGACACATGTGGAATTTGAAAGTATCCACCAGCTGTAACAGTTCCAAAAGACATGATATCCTTAGGCCATCCAATGCATATGTGTTTTACAACACAAACTAAATAGTTTTGCAGTGCTGTGTTTATGTTTGCATCTTTTTGTTACCCTGAATTTAATCAGTTACCTCCCCTTCTTTCTTTCTGCACTGCTTTGTTTTTCTGCAGGCGATGGCAGCTAAAGCGCCTTAGCTGTTTTGTAAGCATGTGCACATCCTGATCTCTCATAATATTAGTTAAAATCAATGTGCTGCTTTTTTAATTATTGCTCATGGTACAAAGCGGGGAAGGCTCATTTAAGGAGGGATCAATATGGGAGAGCGATTGGTAGATGGTGGAGCTGTACATCAGGCGCCTTGATGTGAAAATCATTGGGGCCTGTGCAGGCTGTGGCTCGCGCTGATCATCCTGGTTAGCCCCCCAGCTGGCTGCAGGGCCTGGGTAATGTGTGAACCCTCTGTGAACCAGCATCCTTAGCCTCCACAACACCCCTCAGAGCAGCACACAGTCTCACATCACCCCAGCTGCTACACAGGGCAGGAATAACACATCATAAACTCTATTACAAATAGAATCAGAAAAGTAAGGCAGAAATTTCAAGTGCATTTCTCATTCTCCTCTCTTCTTCTCCCCATTGATTATCTGTTCCCAGGATTATTTTCTTTTTATTTGGTCCTGTTCTCTCACTTGTGGCTACTGTTTCCCCCATCCCTAGATACTCCGGTGCATTGTTCCTCCTTGTGCACTTCTATTATCTCTGCTATCTGTCCCCTGACCGTGACCAGGCTTGACTGGAGGCTTGCACTACTCTGCTCTGTGGGCTTTAAAGAGGTTAATAACTTGTGCCTGTGGACATTATTTAAGGGTGGCCAGAGGAAATGTAACGCTCCCCTGTTTCTGTTGCTTTAGATCCACCTTTGACCCTGGTATTGTCCCTCCCTTCCCAGCTCATATGACAAACACATCCTTACAGTATATCCACAACATCCCACTTTCTCTCTTTTTCTTCACACTTACTCTCCTCTGTCCTCAGTTTCAGTGAAAGCCAATTCTGATCCCCTTCATCATGCAGTTTGGGCCCTCTGGTGCTAAACTGATACAAATGACGTTAATCTCGGAAAGTGTGAACGGCAGCATTTCGCAGCCTCTTACTGTTATTTGTCACCATTTCTGTCTCCAAAATGGCTCCATTTTGCACAGAGAGGAAAAAGTTAAAAGCCCAAATAATTGTTTTCATTATTAGGTCACTAAGCATTTATCATGCAGTTTGTATATCAGTGTACAGTGGATGATTTATACAGGCTCTTCTGCAACCAATGGGATACCACTGTGAGGGTATCAATCCCTATAAGCACTGATCCAATGTACACTCAGCATCTAGGAAAGCAGGGTTGCACATTCAGTGTTCCCAAATGGACTGCTGCTTTTCCTCAGTTGCTACTTCTATCCATTTGGAATATGGTTACCAAAAGCAAAGGGAAATGAAATTATATTTAGCATATGTTGGAAAAGAAACAGAAGACGTGTGATAAATATTCTTAGCTTTTCCAATGAATGCAAATGGAATGGAAAACAATTGAATTCATGTTTCACCAGTGTTTAAAAAAAACAACACATTAAAATACATTTTGACATTAGCTAAAGGCACTTACGCAATCACCTAAATCAAATGCCAACATTTTGACATCATACCAGTACATAATATGTCCAATTAGAATTTAATAGTGGTTAGACACAGTAAGCCTGCCCACTATATCAACTTCTGAAACACTAATGTAATGGTTTTTACTCATTTGCCTGGTCTTTTCAGATGATCGTTATATATCATCTGCATTATTCACATGCTTACTTACACACATACTCATTCACTCACACTGAAGGAAGACGGTTACTGTGGGGCATCAATCATTTGACCATAAGAGCAGTTCATTTACTAATTAAAATCTTTAAAAAAAAAAGACAGAGCAAAATTGACTAAGTACTAAATTCTTAATCACAAATTTTGAACAGCAACTGACTTTACAGTCTATGGTGAGATATCAATCAAGTTCCTGCAAATTATTGCTGTGAGTTGGCCTTTTTTGTCTGATCACCAACTCAATCCCATCTTTGCACAATGTATTAAATCATGTTGTGTAGTGGATGAGTCTCTGCATCTCTTTTCCCTGTAATGACAAGGCACATGAGATTTAAAAAAAAAAGTTCAGAATGGATATCAATAAATTACATGCATACTTAATTTTCCTTTCTTGTCAATGTTGATACCTGTCAATTCCAGTGGGCCCGTGGGCTTTATTCTAATGAAAGAGGTGGAGGGCACAACACTTTCATTTGGCTGAAAATGCTTTGTTCAGCCAGATTTAAGATGAAATGATGCCTTTGGTTATAGACTGTGATTAATGTCAAGGACATCAGAGTTCATCTAAATATAGATGATCTGCATCTGCTTTCAGCAGTGCTGAGTATGCACCATGCAGAGCTCACACACACAGGTAAATATCTTCTCAGTGCCAATAATAACATGGAAAAAGCAAGACTAATTTGAAGTTTCTGGCTTGACAGGGATTGATGCACACAAGAACACTGTTTTACAAAGACAGAAAGTGGTAACTGCAGAAACAGTGATGCTGACAAGAGTTTGGAGCTTTGCTTTCAGACAAACCGTGTAATATTGCGAAACTCTACTTCTAAATTATTGTCACAGAGATAAAACCTTATAAAGTCATTTAGTCTAGATACTGCACTTTATGTTCTGACAATCTACAGGGCTTCTTATGAACAAATAAGTTGGCCAGTCAGTTAGCTTGTGTAATAAGTCTTCATTTACATACATTTAAATATGTAATTTAATTCAGCTTAACCACATGAAATTGTGTAAATGCTGCAAGAGTTTTGATAGCTATAGCAGTAGACTACTGCTACTCTAGGATAGTTACCTTTTGGCAGAACTAATACTGTATATATCCAGCCCAGTCTCACTGGATCAGGGAGCTAACATTTAGTGTCTTTTGAAGACAAATATTTTTGAACTATAGCATGTTAAAAACACTAAGAAGGAAGGGGTAGTGGCCGGCGGATGGGTCCAACAGATTGAGTCCCATATCTAAGTTTGTGTGATGTTGTACTTGTCATTTGAGAGCATTTTAACCAATTCCAGGAACTTTGCCTAATTCAAATCATGTAGTTTCTGTGCCTCAGCTTAACCATGAATGTCACCAATTATATTTAGTTTTTGCTGCCAGAAAGACATTGCCATGGCACAATTTTCAATTCAGAAAAACCTTTCAGTGGTGTTACTGTGACACTAGTACATTTTGTGTTGTGGATCAATGTAACTCTTATACATTTTGATGTGAGTTGGGGTTGGTATAGATGCTGTTTTTTATGCGGCATAACAAACCAATTAACTAAAATGTTGATATATCAAAATTGAATTTTCCATTAACATTAAATTCACTTTGCTTAAGTCTATCTCACCAGCCAGCTTACCAACCAGAATGCAGTCACAGTAGTTTTATTTCTAATGCCCGGTTCAGACTACATGATTCACAGGGGGCCAGAACTGACAAATGAAGTTGGGCATGACAATCGATCATTTTATATTGTATAGTGTGTCATAGTAAACAACAGCCGATGCTGCATCTGAGACGTCTCAATACGTCCCAACACAAAGTCCAGTGTTAGAATTATGCCGTGATGGGCCGATGTTGACATCAGAAACACAGATCACTGTTCTTTTCACAACATTTTTGACACATTGGACTGAACCATATTCATGAAATATCACAGTGATACAGCTAACATTAGCATTGAATTCACAGTCAGCCTTGTGACGTACCCACTCTATCAGAGTAGCTAGTTTTTGGTTTTACTACCAGCTTAAAACATTTAATTTTAACTGCTACCTCAAGTTCTCCATGAAGGAGAGACGTCAGCGGCTGCCCTCTCTGTGTGACCCACAGACAGGTCCAGGGTCGTTTCAAACCCTATCTTCTTTTCTGAATACAAGCTGCCGATATCACACACACTCTTCTCCTGGTCCCTGACACCTCCAAGTCATGAACGACTGTGATCTGTCGGGTACCAACATGGAGCCTGTCATATTCCTCATCCAAGAAATGTATGACTCTATAATCATGTAGTGACCATCGTATCAGACAAAAAAAAGAATAGTCTGAACCAGGCATAATTTAAGAATCGGGTCTTACCTTAATGTTGATTAAATATAGTTACTGGGTTTTGGTTGGTAGGTCAGAACAAGCTGATGTCCTCACTTTTTCCTTCTGTGGTTCGAGATGTACACTGGTAAAATAATTCTTTCCATTAATTTAGGTAAATGTAAAAGCATATTATAAAACTACTCCATGATTCATATTTCACCTAAAAGTAGACAAACAGGAAATAAACAAAACCAAAGTTAGAAGTAGGCATACTCATTATGAAGAATGGCACCTATCACTGTTATTTTTATATTACTGAATCAATACTGTGTGTGTGTGTGTGTGTATATATACATATATACAGTGGGTATGGAAAGTATTCAGACCCCCTTAAATTTTTCACTCTGTTATATTGCAGCCATATGCTAAAATCATTTAAGTTCATTTTTTTCCTCATTAATGTACACACAGCACCCCATATTGACAGAAAAACACAATTTTTGACATTTTTGCAGATTTATTAAAAAAGAAAAACTGAAATATCACATGGTCATAAGTATTCAGACCCTTTGCTAGCACAGTGGCCTCCATAATCCTTAAATGGAAGACGTTTGGGATGACCAGAACCCTTCCTAGAGCTGGCCGTCTGGCCAAACTGAGCTATTGGGGGAGAAGAGCCTTGGTGAGAGAGGTACAGAAGAACCCAAAGATG